ATGTAGGTAGTCCTTGAACCCTATTCCTTCCTTCAACATTCCGTACACTTCTAGACCCTCCTTATCCTTGGATTCTTTCCTCAGATTCTGTTCTTCTCTCTCGGCACAAGCAACAGATATCTTCTCCTTGAACCCCTGTAGACCCTCCGTTTCCAGCGTTTCATCTTCGTCGATGTCGAGCCCCTTCCATACGTCCTCTACAACCTTGACCCATTCCGTGGGTTGTCTACCCCTCTTTTTGATTGCCCACTTCGCCTCCCATACAATTCTCGGCAACCTCTCCTCTCCCATCCCGCACATGCGATACTGCCAGGTCAGCTTCCTCGCTGGGGGGGGCGGGGGGTGGGGAATAGCTACGTAAGAGGAGTTCAATCCGGCACATATTGCGTCAATCGGCCTCTCTCTTCTCGTTTGCTTTCTTCGCACGCCGTCTCGTCCACCTGCTGCCCCCCTCCCACCCCATCGGTTGTTGGCATATCTATGCTATTGCTTGGTTCGTTGTCTCGTTTGAGCGCTCGTCCTCGGCCAGCCTCCTCTTCATCCGTGTTCCAGGAGGTCTCAAGAGACCTCCTGGAACACGGATGAAGAGGAGGCTGGCCTCATGAACTCCCTGCAGTATCCCCGTATACCACGCACGGTAGTCCCCGGTCCACCTTCATGTCTTCCGTACAAGTTGATTGAGGGACTCCGAAAACACATGAATGGCTCGAAGTCAGTAGATCCGTGCGTTACCTCGAACGCCTTTTAAGTCGGCAATCAGGCACATCTGCCATTTTTTCTCCGGTTTCCCCCTGCCGGGGTCCTCCCCCCCAACCACCTCGCCAAGCATCAGCCGTTTCGGGAGTCACCCGTCCGGCTGCCTTGCCAATACTCCCGCAAACACCAGGCGCGGTTGCCGGACAGGTATCCACGTTCTGGCACCCTCGGTGGTTGTTGCAAGCGGGTCGTCACTGTTGTACAATAGGCGCCCGCACCTGGAGAACCGCTGAGTTTGCGTGAGGCTCGATACTTGTTGACTGCCTCAAACCGACCACCTCTTCTCATTTGAAGTTCTTACTTCGAGCATGGGTCTGCTTGTGATAAGCGGGATTCTTGTTCCCTTATTTCCACGCCGAGGGCCCCATGCAGAAGACATAGGCTTGCTCCTCTGGCTGACTTCTGAGAGTTGTGTATTCAGTACAAAACCTCGCTCAACAGGACCTCTGGACCCTAACGCACCGCAGCTTCCGCTGTCACCATACGGTAGAAACACAGACACGGCATCGCCTCAAGAGATGCATCATGGGCAACGTTATAACCGTTTCTAGGTCCACGAGGGTCACGATGTCCTCCCCGTCGTAGCTACACTTGATGGCCGGGCCTCGCCCCTTCCTGCAATGAGTGGTAGGACCTCCATGAATGGTAGGACATCCTCCTGCTCTACGGTGCTCCCCTCAAGCAAAACCCACGACCCTAGACGGCGCGCCTCGTGCGCCAGCTGCTTGCTGTGATGGCAGGGCGAGCACTGCTGATGTTACCTCGGAGTTACCCTATCTATCTGGTCCACTGTTCTTGCGAGAAGACCCAACTTCGGCTTTTAGCCCCCACGTCTCAACCCGATGGCCTCCCGGTGTGCCTTCGTAAGGCATTTACCGCCAGCCATAACATGTAAGACTATTTCATGGCCTCGAAATGTCGATCAGAATGACACCTTTTCCTTTAAACCTTGACAGTTGGCCGCGCTCCTGCAGTGTCTCAAGGCGTAAACACATGATTCCCGGCATGCACACACCATGCACACAGCGTGACATGCTCCACACGCGATGCCACGCGACGAATGGTAAGTCGTGCACAAGCTTGGACCTACCCTCCACCGGTGATGTTCCTCCCCCCCCATGCACGAGTACGCGCACCCACCCCCAAACAAACGTTTGGCTAGCTGGGATGCCTAATCGATCCCATGATATATATCTGGTTTTGCAAAGCAAACGCGAGGATGATGACCAGACTCTGGTTCGTACGTGTGAAACGTAGCCTGGGCCGGCGAAAAGACGGCATATCGCTCCGTCCCGACCTTGTAGGGATACGAGGTCATTGGTCTAACATCACGGCATGCGTTTACATGAGTACACTCCCCCCCCGCCCCCGCCGCAGATCTGAAAGTAGGGTCTGTCACTGGTAACCGCCCCTAGGTGCGCTCTTGTCCCTTGATTTGCAGTCTCCGCGTTTGAAGGGCTCTGTTCTTATTGCCTGTATGCGAATTGGTAAACCACAGTTAAATGCGGGTTGTTGTTCCTATACCACATCGGAAGTGAGCAAGTGTTGTTACGGCCAAATTCTTGGATTTTGAGTTTTTCGAGGCTGCATTCTTTGGTGCGGGGGCGCCTACTGTATTCGAGATTGATCTAAATGGTCACAATATTCGGAATCTTTCTTGATAGCTTGACAAGTTTTCCTCCTCCCGGCGACCGTTCATGTGGTGGACAGGCAGCGAACATCGACAGCGATCAGTGGCGATTGGCGAGTTTCGGAGTGATTGATCTCCTGAAAAAGCTAGTGGAGGAGGGCGGGATTGATGTCAACGCTAAGGACGATCGGGGGATGCCACCAATCATCTGGGCCATAAGGTGGTACATCAAAAGCAGAAGGAGAATGAAACATGGTCTAGATGCAGGAGTAGTCATGCATAGACTGATGGATCTGCACCACCACGTGGGGCGGGAAGGACTCAAAGACGTGTGCATCACCGTCAGGTGGTTTGAAGTTATTGTCTTGTACCTTGTTTTATCAGTGCGCAACCATGCTGAAGGCGAGTCGCTTACAACGCTCGGTTGCTATCCGACTACGCTCGCTCGCTATCCGTACGTACATGCTGAGTGACTTGGATTCTCGTACATCTGGTTGGTGTTCAAGCCTGCCCCACGTTCAACTGCACACTACTCCACGTCAAAGGCACGAAGTCGTTTGATCGGTGACGTACTGCATGAAGCACACTCGATCGCGCTCACCGGTACACTCTGTCGAAGCTTGCCTAGAATTGTTCTCGTCCACTTGGGGAAGAAACTGTAGCCGCGAACTGATGAAGAGCGACACTTGAGTCGAAGAAAGTTGGAGAGCCTAGCGGCGATACGAATTCTCAGATACTTCAAGCAACTGCACCTTTTACTATTCTATGGACAAACGCGAGGTAATGACAGACCTGACGCTGTATTGGGCGTCCGAACGTAGGTTCGCACGGGTGTTGTCATGTGTCAACCGATTATGTGGTCTGCCCTCTTGCGCAATGACGCACACAGTCCTAACGTATTCGTACCCCCATCCCATGACAACCAAGTAGTCTACGTCTTGGAAATATTCCTCTGACAATTAAAAGGAGCCTTTCGCTCGAATGGGAAGGTCAGCGTCCACGCCGAAGAAAAAGAACGACGTTGCTATAAGTATCGGCGTAAGGATTGATCTTGATGTCTAAAGAGCCTATCCCCCATAACTATTCTTATGAAGTCATGCCAGCAGAAGGACTGGATGATGCATACTGCGAAGCCTATCCCTCTTGGTCGGAACCGTCGCTCACGACCAAACGGTTCCCCGAAATCTCTTCGGGCATATAGGTAGACCTTGATAGTTAACTTCGGGTTTGTAGCAAACCCGGCGCGCGAAAAGCAAAAAAAATGGCTCTCTCTCGATTCGTTCGGCGGTTCGTTGAAATCACCGAAGCACTGCTTTCTATTCCTATGCTCCATACGCCATACTGCAAAAATGGCAACCTCTACTACTGAAATACGCACCATGTTGTGAAGGAGCGGGCACGAAGAGGTGGCCACATACCTGCTGGACAAAGGGGCCGACATGGAGTCGTTCGGTTACGCCGGCATGAGGGCTCTTCACCACGCCTGCAGCTGTTCCCACGAGGGCTGTATTGCTCTCCTCTTGGATCGGGGTGCAGATGCCAACGGCGCCGACGAGTATGGTGAGAGCGACAACGATGTGGCGGGTCGCTTCGACGAAGCTTGAGAAATAAATACTTTCTACCCCGTGTTCGGTACAACTGACTGGGTTTCTTTGCAAGGCGGCATGTTGTTGCAGCATACTTGTGACGCTGCCACGCCCATGGAATCCGTATCAAGTACGACTTATCCTTCCTGCACGTCTCTCTGTGTCCTGCTTGGCCAGGCAACACCGGTCTCCATTACGCGGCCGCCCGAGGCGTGTTGAACATCATCATACGCCTCATCAGCAGCGGGGCGGAGCCGGATGTACCCAACGTGCAGGGCTCCACGCCGCTACACAAGGCCTGTGCGTTTGGGCAGAACGCGGTCGTGAAGAAGCTCATCGAGTGAGAGGCACTAGACTAATGGTGTACGTAGCTCGGTAACATCCAGTCAACGAAAAGCTCGCAGAGGATATTCGGCGTCAAGTTTAGGCACCACGCCCTCGTTGCAAACCTCTGGGAAGCGCTGATCTGTCTGTAGGCTAGGAAGCTTGGACGAGCTGACTTGATGGTCTCTTGATCGTTCTATTGCCCGAAGAAGTTCGGGTTGAGCTTGACTGTGCTGCCCACCAACTGCGTCTGTTAAGAAGTGTGTTTTTTTTCGGGTTCGTCTAGCATGAGGCAGAGCGCGCCGAGCGGGCGTTGTTGTATCAAGGGAACGTTCAGTGAGGCACGCATAGCAAGTACACGGGCGAGTTTGAAAGGCGGCAAGTAAAGTTTGTTGCTTCGTTCACTAGACATCTCTTCTGGCGAAACATAGCCAGACGTCGAGAGAGTTACCGATGCACCTCGAGTCGCCACTGACGTGAGGTGCCGCTGGTTTGCACAAGCCATCACTTGATGACGGTACTCTAAACAAAGCCCACATTCCCGCCTGCCCACCATCCTCGTTGTCTGCCCATTGACTTCAATCTCGGTCGCCCGCCTATTACCGTACCTCCCCTGACAATATTTTCAGGAAGGGGTCAGAAGTGGGAAGAAGCGACAAGGACAACAATACTCCGCTGCACATCGCCGCGCGGAGCGGCTTCGGCTCGCTGGTGTCGCTGCTTTTGGATCTCGGTGCCCCGATGCAAGTGGCCAACAAGGCGGGGAAATCCCCCAAAGACGTGGCACTCAACGCTTCCATCGCGGCGCTGCTCACAGAACCGTCGTAGGCTTATATATAGCCGAAGGTCGTCGTTGACTTCAAAAAATCTACCAAACCGGCAAGGTTGTCCCGCGAGCCAAGGGATACCAAAAGGACGTCAACGATGGTGCGCTGGAAGAACAATCGTCGAACCAGGGCAGCGTTTTTGCCCGAAGAATGCCTCGACGCCAGGGTATCCATGTACCACGTACAAAACGGTACTGCAGCACATTGCACTAGACTATACGTCGATTCCACGGCACACTTGCCGAAGACGCTCGTTCTGGAGAGCGGCTTCTCTTCATCGGCCCTCATGTACGTGTATCAAGAGTTTCAGCGGCTCGCTCGCCACTTGTACACCAACATGATCATCGATCACATAAAGTAAAGAAAAAAAAGGGCCCAGAAAAACAATTTCCACCAAATTTCCACCACCACAAACGCGCAAAAATTCTGCAAGACTGCGCAGTTTAGTCTCGCAAGTGGTAAGATTATCGTTTCACCTACCGTGGCAACTAAGCAAGTAACAGCGGCAAAGGGTGAAACGACGACGGAATCGGGAGCACTCAAGTCAAGAATACAAAATCTAAGGAAACCAACGTACAGTAGTCTACACGTGTTCCCCCTTCGCGCAGACGCACAACGCAACCCACAGATCGACAAGACAAAGACAAACATTAATTGAACCGTGACTACCTGTATAGTGAGCACTTAAAAACATGGTACCAGGTAAATGTGCACAGCAATACTTGGAGTTTCAGGTCGAGATTTGTCTCTCTTCTGCCCATTTTCTATCTCTCATCAAACCAGCGTAACATAGCCAGAACATCAACGGAAAGAGGCATGAGCAGCTGCAACAAATCCCTTCACAAAAAAATAAACATGGTAGCTCAAGCTTCGGCGTGGTGCACAACTCGATCAAGACATATAGTGTATCGGTCTATATTAGCGGTAGCAAAACCAAGCGAGAAGGGCATGTAACACAGAACCACACGGCAGCCGTAGTCAGCTAAAAAAGAGACTGGAAGAGACAATCACACACCACGGAAAAAGGCGCACATCACATCACCAACACTAGGGCCATCTGTCCTCGAACAACAGGACAACCTCATGAAACGAAACATATTGGTACACGACCACGTAAAGGGTACTTGGTGAATACCCTTGGCTGAGATGCTTGGCTGCACGACACAGAGGAACAGGCACGAAAAACAAGTCTTTGACTGCACCACACGAGCATTCGCCACGAAAACGCAAGCCAACGAGGGACAAGAAAGGGCAGTCGCAACGTCAACTGCGGACCCTCTCCTTCCAAACGGCTACTACCAGGAAAACAACACAGCTCACGAAAAACTGATGGGCGAGTAGTAGCGACGTCCTGCCTCGGACCAACTTGATTCTGTTACCGGTACCATGTAGGCCTCCAGCATAAAATACCTACAATGCAACGAAATAAAAGTGTTGGGGTTACATAAACACACACGTTCCAACTCAGTATCTCTAAACCTCTACGCGCACTGTGGACACGGCAACACCAACATCGACCCCGCCTCGTACCACCGGCCGCTATCCCACCCCGCCGCCGCCAGGCATCTCGAGTGGATGCCGCGGCCGCATGCACACAAGACGAGCTTGCCCTCTCCTTCACCACCGCCATCGCAAGCCACGGCCCCCCCGGAGAGAGCGAGGCCGCAGAACCCGCACGGAGAGGCCGGGTTGAAGGCGGCGCCGCGGTGCGCGTTTCCTGGCAGCACGAGGTTAAGGTCGAGGTTAACACCCATCGTCGCCACCAAACCCTGGCTGACGCTCCCCGGTTCCTTCCGTCGCAGCGACCGGAATAACCCGTCGTCGTTCCCGCCGAAACCGCTAAAAACGCGCGATAGGTTATCGCCGCCGACGCCGGCGGCAAACACATCCGTGGTCGCGCGGTGATGGTGCTGTAGTCCAGGCGGGGATTCCGCACAAGAAGGGCCCGCCGATCCCGGTTCGCCGCCAAGAAGGCGGGCGTTAGGGCTAGCACTCGCGCTGTTGGCGTTGTCCTGGAAGAAGGACGTGAGCTCCTCGCAGGCCAGCCACGCTAGCCTTGGGCCGAGCGGGCTCGCATCGCTGCTGCCTCCCTTGTTGCCAGCCCCCGTGGCCGTTGTTCTCCTCCTGCCACGAGAAGCCCAGATGGCGGCGGTCGCCTGGTGCAACAGCGCAGCCTCCAAGGCTCGCTGCTGGCTTAGGGCTGCCTGTCGATCCGCCAGGTCTTGGAAAAACTGGCGCAGAAGAAAGAATCACCATCAGCAACGAAGAAAAGCAAGGAAGCATGGGAAGAGAGGCATAAGAGGGGGGGGTGGAGAGAAAGGCAGCGATCATCGCTCGGCGAAAAGAAAGCACCCAGAGGTTTGCGTCCCCGACAGGCATACACGTCGTTTGACTGCCATACATCCACCGCATCGTGGCAGGCCGTGAGGGAAAACGTGTTGCCAATACTTGGCCTTACCTGCTCGTCTGGAAGGCGGTCTGTTTTCATGCACATGTGGAGCCGATTATTTCGCACACAGCTTACACGTGCATGGAAACAGACCGCCTTCCACATGAGGGCGAAGGATCAACAAACTCATTTCTCACGTGCAACCTTGGTTACTACCCGCTCTGCATAGCGGATGCTGCCCATCATGATTCCCGTCACTTGTTTGCCATTTCAGCACACCTTGGGGGGTATGCCTTCCAGCAGGTGCGGGCACGCCGCGAGCACGTCTCCGGTCGCCTCGGGGCCCACGGCATCCAGCACGGCCTCTGCCAGCTCGAGCAACGACAGGGGGCCCAGCGGCCCGGTCGTGCCGCCGCCGTCGCCGCCGCTGCCGCCGCCGCTGCCGCCTTCGGGGTCCTCGGATGTCATCGATGCATCGACCCCCCCCGTGCTCGAGCACCCCAGATTCGCGTCTCCCCGCCCATCCGCGTCGCCCCCATCGTTGTTGGACCCCCCCGCGTCGTCCGCTCCGACCGGCTGCCCGCTGCACCGCCGCGCCAGGCCTCGAACGACGTCCACCATCCTCGACTCTTCCACCCACCCGCCGCCGCCACTCGACTCGTGGCTCTCTTCTTCTGCGGAAGCACCGACGCCGGCGCTGCTGCTGCCTTGCATTCCGGTTAGGGATTGGTGCCCCAGCTCTGGGCCGCCGCCGGCGGCGGCGGTCACGTTGCTGTAGGCACCAGTCTGGCCCGAAGCTTGAATCTTCCCGCCAGAAAGAGAAGAGGCTACAGCCTGTTGACGAGGGGATAACCTCCCGCCATCATCCCCTCGAAGCGACGGCGGCCTCGCTCGAAGGGAAACTCTGCGGAGGGCCCCGTCAGCGGCCCAAGTGGCGCCGAGGGCGGCGGCCAAGGTCTCCGTGTCCCCGTCGTTGAAGGTCGCGAAACACGCGTCCGCAAGGGTGTCGAAGACCGGTAGGGTGGAACCGAGGCTGCCGTAGTCGTGCCCTTCTTCGAGGCCGTCGGCGGCAGCGGTGGCGTAGCAGTGGGATATCACCCCGGTGTTCATTTGGTGTCCTTCTTCTTCTTGTTCTTCCCAAGAGCAAGTAATGGCGCCGCAGATCCGGAAGGCGACAGGCCTAATCAACACCAAGGCCAAGGCCCAAGGTGGAGATCACAGCCGTGACAGGGGGCGAGACGAGGGAGGGACGAAAAAAAGGGTGTTTCAGTCATTACTTCCAGGATTGTTGGCGTCTTTGCACCAAGAAATAAGTATTAATGTCTGACGAACCAGACATTACTAACTTGTTTCGCTGAGGAGAGGAGCGTGTACATGAAACGGAATTCTATGGCATGTGTACTTACAGGTATGCATACACGTCGATACGTACACACGTCGATACGTTGACACTTCCCTTGCCCAAAACAACGGGCACGGCTTGTGATGCGACCTGCAAAAACCACATCGTTGAGTCACAAGAAACTCAACCAACAAGCAGCCCAACAGATGCACCGATCATCTAACCTATTTCCTGCCCCTCCTTACATGCTACCGCGTTTCTCACCAATTCTTGTGCGCTCTCAGCTTCGGCAAAAGCCACAACGGATCCAGGCCGAACGCGTCCCCGTGTTTGCACCACTGTGACACCACCTCCTCGACGACGTCCGAGTAGCGCCGCCACGCCGAACCGTCATCAGTTTCGCCGCTATCTTCCACCCCCAACCGGAGGTCTCCGGTTGGCGTACGCATGCCGCTACCGCCGCCGCTGCCTCCACCAGCTCGCCACCTGCGGCTGTTGTGAAACTGTCCTCTCCCATCTGTTGAGAACCCCCCCTCCGGGTGTCGGACTCCGGCTTCGCGAGTTGCTGGGTCATCGGCGCGTTGGCGGCGCTTAAGGTTTCGGGTGGCCACCTTACAGAAGTTGTGTAGAGGGTGATCGGAGGGCAGGGAGCGTAGCTTTGTGGACAGCCGGAGAGATAGCTGCAAGCATCTCTGGATCACTTTCCTGCTCGCGCGCGAGAGAGAGAAACAGAGAGAGCGACAAAGGCACAAGAGAAAGACGGACAGAGAGAGAGAGAACGGGACAGAGACAGAGGCAGAGACAGAGAGAGGAAGGGAGAGAGGCATCGCGCAGGGAGGGTAGCGCCGGAGGGATAATACGTCAAGGGTCGCAGTCTTTCTGCATTGTTGTATATAGCTCTAGAGTCGACATGCCGTCTGTGGCAGGGAGAAGGATTAAGAGGAGGGGAAGAATTCGTCTGAGAGGCACCTGTATCATGTGTTGTGGAGATGGACTACGACAACGCGTCCATGTTTGTAGATCGACGGAATGGCGAAAGAGCCTGCACACTGGAAAATATCGAATCTTGCTTTGGAAGAGGAGGGTGACTGCGGAGGGTCGAAACTGCTTTGTACGGAAGAAAGGAAAGGCCCCCAGGAATCGCTGAATGACACCAGGCACCAGGGTCGACGCCGTACGAAAACCCTCGTGACGTACATCGAGGCTTCTTCACTTGACTTGACTTGCCTCTGCCTCACACCGACGACAGTAGCAAGTCAACCAAGAAACGCCGAAACAGGTAACAAGTCAACCGAACACACACAAAACAAACTCCAGGGTAGATACGTGCCTCTTTCTCTCGACCGGCAAGAACTACCGCCTACTGTAATAGCCGTGGCAACCAATAATCGAACAATGTACACACACGCACCAGTCTCCTCGGCACTCCCCGGGGTGCTTCCTTAGGACTGCCCACAGGTAAGCGTGGAAGGCGGCGTCAGTCCGAGTGCCGCCGTCACCGTCACCCCGTGCTACCCCTGCCCCTGCGGGCGGGGCGTGGGTTTGGTATCTAGCGCTGCCCCCCTCAACCGGGGTTACAGGCTCGGAGGTAGTCCAGGGCTTGTCTTGGTCTCGATGCAAGGCATGGTGGACATTCCTAGGGGAAATGAAAGGGGGTACAGATGGGCCGTGAGCTTCATACAGCACTCGCATCTGGCCGTATCCTTCTTCATTGCACTTTCAGCGCAGATAAGGCACTAATGGGATGGAAAGGAGAGATTGGTGTGAAGTGCGAGAAACGCATGCACAACCTGTATCGTCAACTGAAACGCAGGTACCGTTGTGACCCCAAACGTGCATGCTTTCGATTGTTCTTGTAAACAACGCCAAGACGTCGCTGTTCAAAGTGTGCATACCTCATGGGCCTTGGCCACAGAGCGTCTAAGGCGGGTCATATTCATCAGGTGGCCAATGAAACAAGTAGGAACTTTGTTCTTGGGGGGGGGTCTTGGGTCTTGGCCTAAATGCTAAAAGAAGACAAACAGCGCAAAACCACACCCTCACCAGGGCCGCACGCCGGGAAACGCGTCCGCACACATCTCCGCCGCCGCCGCCACGTCCCACCGGAACAGCTCCCCCAGGTTGTTCAGGAGCAGACACAGCGGTGCCCCGCCCGGAGCCTGGCTCGTCGTCTGGCCCAACAACCGCCCGCTCCCGCCAGCCTCGTGCCCCGAGAACCCAACGCCTTGTCCGTGCTCCTCGTTGGCGTGGCGGCGGTGGTTTTCGTCTTCGACGACGTTACCGGCGGGGTCCGCGGGAGGCACTAGCAGCCCCAGCGCCTTGCGAACCGCATCCTCTTCCATCGGACCGGACGATAGCGCCGCATCTAAGGTGCCACCGAACCCGTCTCCGTCCTTCCACCCGCTACCACCAGCACCACCGGCAGCGGACATCGCCTCGATCGGCAGCTGGTACGATGGGAAGCCCGCGCGGCTGGGGCTCATGATGGTCGGCGTCCAGTTGCCCGGGGTTCGAGTCCCCGTGGTGCTGATGCTGTTGGCTGGGCTGCGCGCCGGTGTGGTGCCCAACATGCCGGCGCGTTGGTGCCACACCCTGGGGGAGCTCCTCCCCGAGACGGTAGTCACGCTTGGCGTGCGCGGACCCCGGAGGAGCTGGTGCAGAACCCTTCAGGGGCCGATAAATGATGGGAAGAGGAGAGCGAGTGCCAAGTATTTGCAGCGAGTGGTGACAGGTGTCAAGGGACTTGTGATAGTAGGAGGGGGGGGGGGGGGTGTACTCATATTCGTGCATGCCGTAGTCGTTAGACCATTGACCTCGCATCCCTACAAAGCCGGGACGGAGCACGCCGGGTTCTCACCGGACCAGGCTCTCACATCACCAAGCGCGAAGCGCTGTGAGATGTTCGGCGAGTCGCATGAAGGGTGCACTGCATCCTGCTAAAGGTGTCCGGCATCTTGTGCTTACTTCCTTGCGTACGGGTGACAACTGCGTATGACTTAATTTATTTTCTGGTGCTTTCATTTCCTGAGACAGTTGTAAGCACTGTGTAACTAACTGCCTCGAGGGTGCTTGACCATTTTAACACAACGTGGTGCGATCATCCCCCTTGCGCGAAGTGAGGGTTTTCCACCCCGCACAACATGATCTACTCGACCACCATTATGGTTACCGCCAAAAAAAAGAGGTAAAAAACAAAACGGTAACCTGGTTGCCGAGTTCACGAAGTGAATTGGCTTGTTGTACAACGTCGTTGCCAAGCGACGAAAACCCAATCCCGATGGCAAACACCGAGGGGGCGGCTTGTTTTACAACGTTGCCAAGCGACGACAACCCAACCCCGATGGCAAACACCGGGGGCGGCGGCCTGCTTCACAACGTCGTTGCCAAGCGCCGAAAGCCCAACCCCGATGGCAAACACCGGGGACACTGAGGGGGGGGGTTGGAGTGTTAGTAAATAGTGAGCTGAACGCGCGATTTTGTTTCTTGTCCAGTGATCCGACGTAGCCGTTTGTTTCGCTCTGCGCCTGGTATTTTCACTCTTTGCATTTCGAGCAACGGAAGGAAGGGCGCACAGAAACAGCGAGGTGGTAACTCGGCAACCATTGCAGCGCGGCACAAGCACTCACGGGGAGCGCCATCGTGCCACAACTAGCCGTGGCATACCTCTCTTTGGACTTGTAGTCTTCGCACTGCTCAGCCAGGCGGAGCACCTCATCCAACGCCCATTCCATCTCCCGGCAGGACGCGGCCGCTGCCACCGCATCAGCTTCGAGGTAAGCACCGTAATCCTGCACAGCAGCGGCAAGGGCATGAGAGAACGAGTGATGGCGCTGTAAGCACCGTTATCTTGCGCAGCAGCAGTAAGGTCAAAAGAGAAGGGGTGATGGTGCTGTACCAATCGAAAGCTCCCGTATCCCGACGAAACAGACAACGAACTTTGTCACGCTACCCTCTCGCGTGGTCCGAGTCACACCCTCACGCCACTCGACACCTGGTAGGGAGCCACTAAGCTCATGTTGCAAGAGCTCCGTCATTCGCGAAAAACAAAACGGCATACGATCGTATTGTGAAAACAGAACCATACCGCGCCTTACGGCTTCCTCCTTCGTAAAAACCCACACAGACCCCTCGACCATCGGGGCGTGACGCGACAGTCAACAAACCATCCAACACCGACCTGGATAAACCCAACGGCCTTCTCCTCGTCCCACTGCAACGGCCCTCTGCCGCCAGCGCCTCCACCCGCCTCGTCCCAGTCTCCAACGCTACCCGCCGGCGATCCCGCTCCGATCGGAGACTCTTCTTCCGCAGCAGCGTTGCCGGGCACGGCTATACCACCGCCACCGGCGCCGCCGGCGCCCCCGGCGCCGACATCCTCTTGAGTTCCGAACCAGGTAGTTTCTAGTCGGAGGGACCGGAGGCCTACAGCATCGGGGTCGTCTTTCGGCCGTGCGAGGAAGGGCCAGCTCATGTGCACCTGGGGGGGGGGGG